GATGAGACTGAGGATAGTCAAAGCAACCACAACAGCCCACACCCACTGATGAAGGTTCTGAGTCTGAATCTGAAACTGAATCGGGTGATTCAGAGGATTTCGAGAGTGCGAAAGCCTCTATGCGACCCTCTGAAAGCTCTGATCAAGAATTGGAGGAACCGTTGTTCACAATAGGTCGTTTTTCTCCTAAGAAGGAAGAGGAGAGTGTTGAAGACTTAAGGCTAATTCGTAGGTCACAGAGAGCCACAAAAGGCAAACCTCCAAAGAGATTTGCTGATGAGTTTGCTAAGATAGCAGTAACAGCTGTTAAAAGCTCCAAGAAGGTATTTGAACCTTCAAGTTTCCAAGAAATCCAGGGTTTGGATTCGAAGGAAGCTGAGCCATGGTTAAATGCCATGAAGGCTGAGCTTGATTCCTTAGAAAGGAACAAAACATGGGAGCTAGTTCCAGTAGTTCCAGGAATGAAACTGCTTGGAAGCAAATGGGTCTTCAAAGCGAAGACAGATCAAAATGGCAAGATAGTCAGACACAAAGCCAGATTGGTAGCCAGAGGTTTTGCACAGGTACCAGGTGAAGACTATCACGAGACCTATTCACCCACAGTGAGATATGAAAGCATTAGGCTTATGCTCAAGCTAGCTGCAGAGGAAAATCTACACATTAGTCACCATGATATTAATACAGCTTTTCTGTACGGATCTCTAGATGAATCACTTTATATGCTTCCACCTGATGGCGTACAGGTAAAACAGGGATTTGTTTGTGCTCTGAAGAAATCCCTTTATGGTCTCAAACAAAGTGCACGGTGTTGGCACACAAAACTCACTGAAGTATTGTTTTCTCTAGGTTTTCAGCAAGGGAAAGCTGATCCATGTGTATTTGTCAAAGAGGAGGGGCAAAAGAAACTGTACTGTTTGTTTTATGTTGATGATTTATTATTCTTTTGGAAAGATGTCGCAATGTACAATAGCGCCCTAGCTCAACTGAAAGAGCACTTTGACATGAAAGATCTTGGTGAGGTAAACAACTACCTATCTCTGGAAATAGAGAGAGATCAAGATGGTAACATTCTAGTACACCAGTCACGGAAAATTGCTGATGTGTTAAGCAAACTAAATCTGATGGATGCTAACCCTGTAGACACACCGATGACAACAGGTTATCAGGTAGATGACACTGAAGAAGCATTTTCTGACACTACACTGTACAGGAGTGTGCTAGGCAAGCTAAACTTCATTGCCAGATGTTCAAGACCAGACATTGCTGTTAGCTGTAATTTGCTAAGCAGACAAGTCAACAATCCTAGTGTCAAGGATTGGAAAGATCTGAAACGCATAGCGCGGTATTTGAAAGGCACTATGCATTACAGACTGAGATTTAACAATCAGAAGTCTGGTGGTCTTGAGATATTTGCAGATGCAAGTTTTGGAAGTGACACTACAGACAGGAAAAGTACGTCTGGAGTTTGCTATATGTACAATCAGAGTCTTTTTGATTGGTCATGCAAGAAGCAAACAACAGTTAGCTTAAGTACTTGTGAAGCTGAACTGAATGCACTGTCTTATTCACTTAAGGATTGTGAATGGTTAGTACAATTGTGCAAAGATATGAAAATTCCTGTCAAATGTCCAATCCAGGTTTACCAGGACAACAAAGCATGTTTGGCTTTGCTGAAGTCTGAAGGTTGTAAGCAAAGCACAAAGCACTTACAATTAAAGTTGCAGCATGCTAGGGAATGTATTCAGAAGGGACTCGTAACGGTGTCCTATATGCCAGGTAATGAAATTCCTGCTGATGTATTGTCCAAGATTGTATCAAGGGATCAACACTGTACCTATGTGCAGAAGTTGGGTTTGTACTGATATTGTGCAAACACGCTGCCCAGTGATGTTCACAGAAAGGGGGAGGATGTTGGTTTCTGCTTTCCTTCACTGTGCAGCTCTGCTTGTCACGAGACAGGTGTTTACATTCCACAGTCTGTACTGTTGGAGTTTCTCACGGGAAAGGGAGACTGGATGTGACGTACACTGGTTTCCTGTTTTTCACTGTGTGATTCTCTCCGAGCTGTCGAGGAGAGAGGATGCATTTTTCTGCTCCAGCAGAGGCAAGATGTCTTTCTGTAATATACCAGCTTTGAACTGTAAATAAAGCTATATAGAGTATGTATCACGTATTCCTCATCCTTCCGCTGGGCACCAGACTCTGCTTTAAATCAACACTTTAAACCTCTTTTGTTGACCACCGGCATTACACTTTCCATTTCTAAGTTCACAATAGAATAGTTGCTTTGGAAGACGATAATCAGGCATCTGCACAACATGACCAGTCCAATGAAGTTGATGTTGAAGAATCATTGCTTCAACACTGGTGATCTTTGCTTCTTCCAGTACACCGGCATTAGTTCACTTGTCTTCACAAGTGACGTGCAGAATTTTTCGGAGACACCGTTGATGGAATCTTTGGAGGAGTTTGGAGATGGTGTTTATAAGTGGTCATGCTGGCCACATAACCCAGAAGCTGTACACCGGCTCCCTCGGCCAATAATGCGAGAAGAGTGCCGCAACCCCAGAGTCGGTCACGACTGGACCTAATGGTCAGGGATCCCTTTACCTTTAAGGAGTCTCAAAGCGGCTAACAATCTCCTTTTCCCTCCCTCCCCCACAACAAACACTCTGTGAGGTGAGTGAGGCTGAGAGACTTCAGAGAAGCATAACTAGCCCAAGGTCACCCAGCAGCTGCATGTGGAGGAGCGGGGAAGCGAACCCGGTTCCCCAGATTATGAGTCCACCGCTCTTAACCACTACACCAGCAAAGGTCTAGCTCACACAAGCAATCTGCGTCTGGACTATACATCTCTAGACTGCATATTTGGGGTGGAAGCTCATATGTCTAAATGTTCTTCCTTACATGGGATGCTAGTTCACAACTTGCATGGGTTTGACAGCCTTATTCTCCACAAATCTATCTGATTCCCTTTAAAGCCATCCCAAGTTGCTGGCCATCGTTGCACCTGGTGGGAGCAAGTTACATAGCTTAACTCTGCAAGTAGGGAATGTGGCTCTATATATCAGATGCTGTTGGGATGCGTCCGGGGAGATGGGGGCATTTGGCAGGGCCCCAGCTGGCTCCAGCCAATGGCCGGCAGCCGGGTGAACTCCAGTTCTCAGAATAGCATCAATCAGCGACTCGAGTCTCAGAAGCCTTCAGAAGCTGGGCACGCTCTAATCAGTAGAGTGAATAACTTTTCACAACGGAAGTGGCGGAGAGAGATGTGTAAGCATATTTACAGGTGTTTATTCAGCATCAGGAACAAAGGAAAAACATGTCTGCTTCCCTTCGTGTCCGAGCAAACAGCAGTATAGGCAAAAGCAATATACAATGGAAGTTCCCAGCAAACTGTGCTGGAAGTAAACAGACATGTGACATACAACAATCCACACATCTGTTCTAAAGGTTGAATGGAACTATATCCTAACAGATGCCACACATCTGCAGGTTTGATGTGACCCATAGGCTCTGTTTGCTTTCCCTACAGTTGACCTACAGTGGTTCACATGCTTTTTGAAGAATTGCAAAGTCTTTCCAATCTCCAGGGACCTGGGCTTTACAACAGCATCCTTCTTTGCCAGGGATTTCTCCCTGCGAGTTGTGAGGTGCAAATTATTGCAGATTCAAAGGGTGCCTAATGTGAAATGTCAGCTAAGAGGAAGAAGTCCCAAATCTCCTCCATGGGCATGAGAGGAAAGCAGACCAACGAGTGCCTTTGCATTAACTGAGAAAATCTTGCCAGCCCAACTGAGGCGTTTAGACAAATATTTGCCTTCAGATAATGAAATGTGCTTCAGGATGTAAAATGTTCTTTGCGCGAAGGAGCCAGAGATTCCCCAGAAGTACTCAAGTGGAGAGGAGTTTCCTGGTGCTCAACTAAGAGAGGCTAGCATGTACCAGGAGCAGAAAGGCAGAAATAAGAACATAGGGAGAGCCAGGCTGGATCAGAGCAAAGGTCCCTCTCCTCCAGGGGCAGGGAATGGAGTTATGGGACCCCTGAGCCAAGGAGAAAAGTAACTATACAAGCTTTGGAAGACATCTGAAGGCAACCCTATATAGGGAAGGTTTTAAATGTTTAATATTTTAATAATGGTTTAATATATGTTGGAAGCTGCCCAGAGTGGCTGGGGGCAACCTAGTTGGGTGGGCAGGGTATAAATAATAAAATTATTATTATTACTATGGAATAAGGTAAAGGTAAAGGACCCCTGATAGTTAAGTCCAGTCGCAAACGACTCTGGGGTTGCAGCGCTCATCTCGCTTTACTGGCCGAGGGAGCTGGTGGACTAAGCCACTTCTGGCGAAACCAGAGCAGCGCACGGAAACGCTGTTTATCTTCCTGCCAGAGAGGTACTTATTTATCTACTTTCAAACTGCTAGGTTGGCAGGAGCAGGGACAGCGCAATGGGAGCTCACCCCATCGCAGGGATTCGAACCGCCAACCTTGCAATCGGCAAGCCCTAAGCTCTGTGGTTTAGACCACAGCGCCACCCGCGTCCCTTTACTATGGAATAGGACGTCCCTATTTGCATCAGAGAAATGTTGGAGAGTTTGCGGAGGCCACTAACCCTTTTAGCCCTGTGAGCACATTGGGATTTTTGAGACAGAGGGACAGAGGACACTATACAATCTTGCAGTGCAGACACACCCTGATTGCTTGGGAAAGCAAAATGTTGGTTCTGGCAGAATTAATCTGAACCTTGAAACCTCAACGAGCTGAAGGAGGAACTTCCTCCCTTAGCTCTGTGTAAAGATGCAAGGCACATCCTAATTTAGGGGCTGCACAGAGAGTGCACTTTCCCAATGCACCACCTCCTGAACTATTGAGGGTGGCAGAACTACCAAGAGGGCAATCTTAACACCATCCATCACATAGACTCGCAGAAATATAGAGTTGGAAGGGACTCTGAGGGTCCTCCAGTCCAGCCCCCTGCAATGCAGGAATATGCAAGTGTCTCTTACGGGGATCGAACCTGCAACCTTGGCATTTTCAGCACTCTCACCAACTGAGCTATCCTGTCATGGTGCCTTGTTTTCTTTCTGCTGCAGCTTGTCTTCTGCCAAAAACCACATTATTCATCTTGCTGTCCACTGTGGCAGAATTAAGCAACTTATGCAATTTACATAATTAATGCTGTACATAGCCCTAGGATCATTATATTACTCATTACACAATGCAAATAGGAGCGAGCAGGGACTGGAACCAACTGCATATCTCCCCCCCCCCCACACACAATTATTGGAAATTTATTGGAAATAGTAAAAAAAAAAATTTAATATTTATTTATACAACAAGAAAAAAAACACACACAAAAAACCACAAATACCAAATTACACACAAATTACAAAAATAACCATAGACACATAATTTTCTTGGCAAACAATAAAACATCTATTGGTCTTAACACTAAAGACCCAACTTCCCGTCTATTCCATATTTCAAATTCATATTACTTATTGCCAATACACATTTTTTTCATAAACTTATTCTCAATAAATCTAATTTCTTTTATCTACCTAGCAACTATTACTGAAGTTCCTCGAATGCTGCAACAGAATTTAAACTACTATATTTATTTTTCAGATATTCTTTGAAAACCTCCCATTTAGAAACAAATTCCTGTTTTGATTTATTCTTTATTTTTTCTGATAAACCATCTAATTCGGCATATTCTGTCAGCTTTTGGATCCAATCTTGTATAGAGGGGATTTCATTACTCTTCCATTTTGCTGCGATCAAAACTCTTGCTGCTGCCGTCGCATAGAAAAAGATACCCTTCCTCTTTTGTGGAATATCCAAATCTGTTATTCCCAGGAGGTAGGCCTCTGGTTTTTTATTGAAAGAGATCTTTAGCATTTTTTGCAGTTCTGCATGTATACTCTCCCAGAATACCTGTATTTTCCTACATATCCACCACATATGGTAGAATGTTCCTGAGTCTCCGCATCTCCAACAATTACTTGACACATTTTTATACATTTTTGAAAGTTTCCATGGTGTTAGATACCATCGATGTTGCATTTTTTGAAAGTTCTCTCTAATCGTGTAACAGTTTGTGAATTTCCAATTGATCTTCCATAAATTTTCCCATTGGGCCATGGTTATTGAATGGCCAAAATCCTGGGACCACCTCACCGTTGCCACTGTTACCTCCTCATCCTTGACTGTCCAGTCAAGGAGGAGTCGGTAAGTTTTGGAAAGAGTCTTTCTTTAGAATTTACAAGATCAGATTCGAATTGGGGAATTTCTACTGAGAACCCCTTTTGTTTGTCAGATTTAAATTTTTCAAACTGCATATCATTGACGGATTGAAAGCATATCAACTGCATATCATTGACGGATTGAAAGCAACAGCAAATACCAATTGTGCTTGTTGGAATGATTTCTGTAAGTGGGCCCTCTCAATTTCCTCTTCCGTTTCCGCTTTTGTCAGAATTCTCTGACAATCCTAGACATTTGCTGCCATTTTGCGGCAAAGCATCACATACTTTCGTCCCCCTACAGTGCAGCCCTCAATCATTCTTCATGCATAATGTGAGCTGCTGAAAGTGTCAAAATTGGTTGCTTGGCATCTGTCTGTCTCGGGAGACCATGAAGAAGGAGCGTGCTTTTGGGAGTGGGGGGGGGATATCCAAAGCTGGGAACAACATCCAGGAATAGAAATCCCAGAAGTTTATTTCCCTGTATGGATACTGTCCGTGTCGCAGACCCGTTGGGAGACCCGCAGCCCTCGCCCGCCATCCTTGCTCAGAGCTGATAGGTGCCCTCCTTGATGGACGTGGCGAGAGATCGAGGAGACATCAACAACCCGTGTGTCTGTCTTCTTCCTTGGCAGTCGTTTTTTGCACAGAATTAAGCTTCTCGGTTTTTCCCCGGGCTCCGGGAGACATATCAGATGTGAAAGCCTCAAGCTACATGATAGCATGCATCAGTTACTTCCCGTGACCCTTGTCACGGTGTCCCTTACGGCGAGATTTATTTTCTGAGGAGTTTCCCATGCAGCGAAAGGGGTCCCACTCCCGACTCGCTGGCGGTGGTGGTGTCACCGTTGGAAAATATCCAAGCAAAGCAGAACGGCTTCTGTCTGATAATGTAGCATTCCAAATGATCCCACCCAGCCCCATGGGCCACTGCTGTGGCTGTTCCTTTCTGAGCTGATGTGGGCTCTTGTCTTCTGCAGAGGAGAGGTGAATTGGCCCAATCTGATGGTTCTTTTAGTGCCAAACAGAGGATTTTTTGTTGTTAAAGAAAGCCCCTAGGTGAGAGATGGAGGTGTTGCTTTGAGCAAGAGACGCTCTTCGCATCCAGCTTTGATTTGTAATTAACTCCCCGGGCCAAAGAATTTGTGGCAGCTTTAAGAGTCATTTCCCTCCTGATTGATGGGTACATTTTATGCTGCTGGTGACACTATCCTGTAATTTTTTTGAAAAAAAACAACCACTGTGTGTTTATTGTTTATTTATTTTGCAGAGGGGGGATTTTAAAGCAGAATTCCTCTTTTCCTGTAATGCCTCTCTTTTGTTTTAATTTGTTGTCATTTACATCTGTAATTGCTTGTTGGTCCTATATTTTGTCAACCACTTTGAGTGTGACTTGGGTTATGTATAAATTAAATTAAATTTCGGGATTTGCTCGCTACTCCATACCATGTAATTACTTTCTATTATCTTAATTTACAGATAGCATTGAAGCCAACATCGAGACTGCCTCCTCCAATGTACAATCTGCCAATGAGCAGTTGGCCAAGGCCAGCCAACACCAAGTAAGTTTGTGTGTGTTTTAAGGAACAGAAAATATCCTGATTAGATCCGTGCTATTTAAAATGATTTGGGCAAATTGAACCTGGCTCTGTACCAGTAACTCTCTTACCGTGTTTGGAAGTGACTTGGAGAGTGTTCCTAAAATGAGAGCTTAACCTCTCTCTCTTTCCCCCCCCTCCCAAGATTTAAATGACTTTTTTTCCCCTCTGCTGGCAGCTTGCATTAAAGACATCATTTTGAAACCTGCATATTAAGCAGACTTTTCCCAACAGAAAACGAAGCAATTAGCAACTGTTGTTCTTTGAAAAATGGTGTTAAAATGCATCCTTTACGCCTGTTGTGTTCTCCCTTCTTGGAGCATCCTAACTAGACAGCTGATTGAAAAGATTGTGTCGCCGGCAAATGTGGTCCCGTGGGGAAATGGGATTAAGCTGCAGTCTTTTAAAGCTTCTACCAAAGGTCCTTTGCACTGTGGCAAGAATGAAATAGGCACATGCAAACTGCTAGACGTGTTCAAGAATAGGCAGAGTTGTTAATGGACTCTGGAAAATGTGTGGGGAGACCCCAGTACTACGACCCCGGGCCTAGAACAGGGGTCAGCAAACATGTTCAGCAGGGGGCCGGTCCACTGTCCCTCAGACCTTGTGGGGGGCCGGACTATATTTTGGAGGGGGGGAAATGATGCAAGAGCACCACGAACCCCAGTGGCTTACCTGTGTCTTGCGAGCAGCAGGGGATGAGTGGCGCATGAAAGGGCTCCGGAGAGGGGCTGCTTAAAATGGCAGCCACTTGAGCACTGCTGCTGCTGCTAGCACCAACAAAGCCCAGCCCCCTTCCTCCTCTAGACAGGGCAGGGAGAAGCCAGGAGGAGGGAGGGAGGGAGGAGGACGCGCCACCGAGGGAGGGAGAGGGAAACTCACGAGCTGGCGATCCACACAGTGATTCCCAGACCATCCACAGGCTAGATCCAGAAGGCAATTGGGCCGGATCCAGCCCACGGACCTTAATTTGCCTACCCATGGCCTAGAACAGGTGAGAGATCCCAGGTTTCGCCTGAGACTGTGACAGGTGCGATGTTCGGCTTGGCCGTGGGATCCTCATGACCATCTTGTTACTCTGTTGTGGCGAAAATGCTCTCTGTCTCTGCCATCTCACCATCTGAGCAAAGGTTGGGGCTGTTCCTTGATAAGCAGCTTTTGTTTACTGGTAGGATAAGAAAATAAGGAGCCAAGGGCAAAGCAGAAGACACCTGATGCCTCTTCTGTCCCCAGAAACCCACCAGAAGCAGGTGGGCTCCAGAAATAGCTAGCGTGCAGCTCCTTCGACTGCCACGGACTGTGCTGAGGCCCATAGAGGAGAGTTTCCAAGCCGCTTTCATATCTGGCAAACATAAACGTTCCCAGGGACTCCATTGAGAGCCAGTGTGGTGTAGAATCATAGAATCATAGAATCATAGAATCATAGAGTTGGAAGAGACCACAAGGGCCATCGAGTCCAACCCCCTGCCAAGCAGGAAACACCATCAGAGCACTCCTGACATATGGTTGTCAAGCCTCTGCTTAAAGACCTCCAAAGAAGGAGACTCCACCACACTCCTTGGCAGCAAATTCCACTGTCGAACAGCTCTTACTGTCAGGAAGTTCTTCCTAATGTTTAGGTGGAATCTTCTTTCTTGTAGTTTGGATCCATTGCTCCGTGTCCGCTTCTCTGGAGCAGCAGAAAACAACCTTTCTCCCTCCTCTATGTGACATCCTTTTATATATTTGAACATGGCTATCATATCACCCCTCAACCTCCTCTTCTCCAGGCTAAACATGCCCAGCTCTCTTAGCCGTTCCTCATAAGGCATCGTTTCCAGGCCTTTGACCATTTTGGTTGCCCTCCTCTGGACACGCTCCAGTTTGTCAATGTCCTTCTTGAACTGTGGTGCCCAGAACTGGACACAGTACTCCAGGTGAGGTCTGACCAGAGCAGAATACAGTGGCACTATTACTTCCCTTGATCTAGATGCTATACTCCTATTGATGCAGCCCAGAATTGCATTGGCCTTTTTAGCTGCTGCGTCACACTGTTGGCTCATGTCAAGTTTGTGGTCAACCAAGACTCCTAGATCCTTTTCACATGTACTGCTCTCAAGCCAGGTGTCCCCCATCTTGTATTTGTGCCTCTCATTTTTTTGCCCAAGTGCAATACTTTACATTTCTCCTGTTAAAATTCATCTTGTTTGTTTTGGCCCAGTTCTCTAATCTGTCAAGG